TCAACATTAAGCCAATTGAAATTTTGCAAGGATTGCGTTTTACAGGGTGCACGCATATTGCACGGCTAGTATTCTGGAATTCATTCGGTCAAAATGAGGAGAATTCATGATGTTGCCCATAACAACGGGTGTGTAAAAAATAAATTTAATATCGTGGGATTTGCATTTAAAATGTGAATGTAGAGAATAAAAAATGGTGTAAATAAAACCATCTATAATTTTATTGAAAGAAAAAAAATTTTATAAGGTAATAATGTAATTTAATGGGAGAAAGAGAATCTCTCCTTCAATATTGTATTTTGAGTTCATGACCTTAAAAAGAGAGAGAAAGGTCCTTCAAAAAAAAAAAAAAAAAACATTAAGAGGCATCTTAATTTCAACACCACTGTATTGGTGGTGGTCAATGTCATGTTTGTGAGGGCATCATGCATATATAGTAGAAAATAGGAAAGAAAAATTAAAAGAATATTTTTTTAAGTAAAAATAGAAATAGAACTAAAATTGAGTGTAACTTAATTTAAAATGACAGTTGTGCAAAGAGGAGCTACAGTTAAACAACACGATGAGGTGCTTATGTGTTATGTGCTTATGTCTCCGAGTTTGTTTATGGAAAAATGTTAAGGTGAATCGTTATTTGTAAGTTGTAACTCCTTCATTCTTTTTCAAAAAAAACAAAAAATAAAATAATATATTGGCTAAAATGTTGCGTGAAACCTTGACCAAGCAGGAGAGGGAAACTGGGGAGAATGGAAACAAAACGCAATCGATGGTACTATTCGTCAAAAAAAAAAAAAAAAAAAACACTCTGATTATTAATTATCTCATCCATGACGAAGAACCCATCACGACTTCTTCAATGTGACATCAGATATACAATTTATAACTATATATTTATGAAGTTTTTTTTTATAGTTCATCCTATAGTAATTTTAATTTTGATTGTTAAATTTAATTAAAATTACATTAAATTAAAATATACGCAGAATAAATAAATTTTAATATAAATATTAAAAAGTAAGAGATTATCAATAAAATATGTATTCACCTGAAACAAAGAAAAAAAGAAAGAAGAAAGAAACCGTACTTACAACTTTATGTGTCTGCATCAATACAGATATACTGGAATTGAAATAATTCTTTTCTTTTTTTTTTTTTTATAATTCGGCAGTGAAATAATTTTTTTTTCTAATCAAACATTGAAATAATTGGGAAGACCAAGTACTCATATTATTATTATTATTATTATTATTTTGCTCTACTTTGCTATGGCCTAGGAGTGATCTTCCTCATGATGTCATACGTAAAGGCTCTAATGTCTAACACTTTACACTCCCTTCTGACTTGGATCCTAGAGACTGATCCACATTGCTTTCCGAAATCAAGGAAAACGTGATTCCAGAAACTCCAACCATATGGAAAAATGAAAAATGTTTTAACTAACTTTTTTTTTCTTTTTTTAGATTTTCTCTATTTTAAGAACAACTCCAACCATATTAATCATTTTATATTTTTAATTAAAATAATTAATGATTTAGTTTTTTTTTTTTTTTTTTAGCTTTTCTCTACTCTAACTATTAAATAAATAGTTAGCTATTTTAGAAAATGCATTTCAGACTAACTAAATATAGCTAGCATGATGTGGCTAGTCTTTTATTTTTTGTATTATTTTATTCTTTAAACTCTAATAAATATAAAGATTTTTTTTGTAAATTTAATAAATTTATTTATATTTTAAATTTAATAAATATTAAAATAATCTATATTTAGTTAAAATACAAAATATGATTGAAGTGATTCACCAAAAAATTGCTAGCCAAAATAACTTTTTAACTATTTTAGATAGAATTTAGCTAAAATTTAAAGAACTCTCTTGAAAATGTTCTAACCATTTGTTGAATGATTAGTTATTTTAGAGAATACATTTTACACTAATTAAATATTACTAGTCAAAAGGTGCTATCCATTTATTTTTTTATTTTTTTATTCTTTTAAATAATAATAAATGTAGGGTAGAGTTATTTATATTTTAAATTAAATAAAGAATAAGAAGTATATTTAGAGTCCCTCATTGAAAAATTACTAGCTAAATTAGATTTCTTACTATTTTAACTAAAATTTAGTTAAAATTTAAGGAGCTCCCTTATAAATTCTTTTATTGCAAAATTATTTCAAATGAGTAATGTTAAATACAAAATCTATTACAAGATGCTAATCTATTTTCTTGACATGTATCATTACACTTTTCTAAAACAAATAAATTTAATAATAAGTCATTTCTTTCCACCATAATTACTAGAGTGCCACCTTCTCTTTTATTCCATATTTTTTATATGGGAACTATTTCCAAGTATTTATGTCTACTTTTTTCACTTATTATTTAAAAAGATTTGAAACCTTATTTTTCCACCTATTATTTACAACGTTACAATTCAGTTTTATGCAAACATTGAAAACTCGAACTCCGAATTTTATTAAATTAAAACAAATATATATTTTTTACTAATATGTATAAAGAAAACGTTATAATTACTCTTATATATATATATATATAACGTTAAAATATTTATATCTAAATATAAATGTATATGCTATATAAATATAATATAATAACGTCTATATGTAATCCTAACGGCACTTTTTTTCTTACGTTATATATATTATATGACGTAGATATATACATATATAAATATATTTAATCTGTAAACTACGAGCATAATACGTAATATAATTAACTTCAATTATATATGTATGTTATATATACATACAGGTATACCTTTTTTTTTTCCTTTGAAAGACATATAAACATACCTTTTGTTATTATTGAACAACAGACACGTAATCTTTTTTTTTCTTAAAATAAAGAAACAGATACGTAATATAATCTCTTAAAGAACAGATAAAAAGCGTAACGTGAATATTTTAAATAATAGGTGCAAAAAAAAAAAAAAAAAAAATCCATGTTTTCCAGCTAAAAAAAAGGTGCATAAAATGTGACTAGTTCTAGACTTAGTTCTTAAAAGGGGTGGCACTTATTTAATTATGGTTAAAAGAGATGATTTGTTATTAAGTTTGTTTATTTTTAAAAAGTGGAATGACACATGTTAAGAAAATAAACTAGTATTTAAAAGAGAATCGAGACTGTATTTAACACTCTTCATTTCATATTTGCCAATATCTTCCACTAAAAAATAGAATAATAAATAAAATCTATTTCCTTTTAGGTGCAAAACTATTTCGCATTTCCCAAACTCTTCTATAAAAAAAATAAAAAATAAAAAATAAAACCTATTTCTCAAAAAACTCAAAAAGATTTTTTAACAAGAATGTTTTTGTTTCTAAACCTTCCCTCTCTCACTCTCTTTCTCTCTCTAAGATTACAGAACTGGTTTTGGGTGCGAGAAATTAATGGGGATAGCATTCAAAAGAGAGCAGCTTTTTATATAGAGGTAGGAGAAGATAAAAGGTTAGAGAAACGGGTAATATTAACCCTATACACTCAAGTTTCTGCAGGCTTTGGATTTGCATGCCACGTGAAGCTCTTGATTAGTGCTCGAGCCTTATCAACTACTACTTGAATTAACACAAAAGAAGCTTCCATACATCACTTTTTGATCTGTCCTAGTAAACCAACCATCCAAATTAAAGATTGTGACGCCAAAGATTTTGAGCTTGAGTTTTTAATTTGAGTTAAGAAATAATTTTATATAAAAAATTTTTATTGTGATAAAAAAATTAAATATGATTATTTTTAAGAATTTTTTCCTATATTAAAACTCGAATTAGACCAAATAAACGAGACCTTTTATCTTTTTGGCGACTCCATCACCGGACAATTCTTTGGCGACGGTAGCTGGGGCTCTTCTCTTGCTCACCATTTCTCTCGCACGTTACATAAATATGTACGTATATACATAAATTCTGTCCCATCTCCGCCCCATCTATAATTATTATCTGCCATTTCAGTCCCGTTTAGGACGGATTCCCGTCCTCGTGAAAATTATTACCATCTCTATTGGAGATGCTATTAGACCAAACTTTCTCACAATATGCCAAATTACAAAATAAATAAATAAAAGTTGAAATACAGCCTTTATTTAGGAAAATCAATTTCCAAATTGATCAATCCCGTAATTATCAAAATTTTTTTTTATTAATTCCGTAACTCTTGGTTTCTTGAAGAAAAGTATTTTTTATTTAATTTTTGTTGATTTAGAGTATCATGAAAAACTTATTTTAAGCGTGGAGTTTGCAACCATAAGATACTCAACCTAATAAATATGATATTTATACTATCTTGAGTAAATATCAAGGCTGTATTTGATAAAAGAGGAGCTGTTAATAAATGCGAATTTAGATATGATATAAAAAGCTTCTTTTAACATATCAATATTCTCTCCCTATTTAATATAACAAAAAGTTTATGTTTGAATTCAGAATGTTATGAAAATAATATTTTTGATTAGGTATTCAACTTTAAATTTTTAATATAAAATACTATGTTAAATAAAATTTTGAATTTAAAATTTTTATTTCAAGTTCAAATTACTAAAAGTAAAAATATTTACTAATCAACCGTCAAATAATAAGCTTGTTATAGAAATATTTTTGTATTATTAACTAAACTTAAAGGTGAGGATCACAGTTGATAACGACAAATTATATTATATTTAATAATTAAAAATGTTAAATTAACAACAAAAGACACTTGAAGAATGAGTATTAACATACGATTTTGGCGTTGATATTTCCTTGGGGGTGCAAAACTATATCGGATTTCCCAAACTCTTCTACCAATAAAAAAAATAAAAACTCTTCTACCAAAAAAATAAATATAAAATAAAAACTAAACAATATTTAAAGAAAGACTACACGTTTTAATTTGGCTTTTCTGTAAGCGTCTTTTGTTTTTGTTTTTACCTTCTCTCTCTCTCACCCTCTCTCTGTCTCTCTCTAAAGATTAAAGAACCGGTCTTTTTGGGTGCGAGAAATTAATGGGGATAGCATTTAAAAGAAAGCAGCTTTTTATATAAAGGTATGGAGAGGGATAGAAGGTCAGAGAAACAGGTAATATTAACCCTATACACTCAAGTTTCTGCAGGCGCTGGATTGCATGCCACGTGAAGCTCTTGATTTGTACTCGAGGCTTTTCAACTACTTACATACCAAAAAGAAGCTTCCATACATATAACGTTTTGATCTGTCCCAATAAACCAACCACCCAAATCAAAGATCATGAGGCCAAAGATCTATCTTTTTGGCGACTCCATCACCGAAGAATCCTTCGGCGACGGTGGCTGGGGCTCTTCTCTTGCTCACCATTTCGCTCGCACGGTACATACATGCATGCATGCATACATACATACATACATAAATATATATATATATATATATATGTGTGTGTGTGTCTATATATATATATATGCATTGCATGAGTTTCTAATGATATGTGTTGAGATTTTTCTTTTTCTTGAAATATTTGACTTTCTCAATTTATCCTAAGAACCCGAAAAAATAAAAGATGTATTATGTTTGAGCTTGTGAGTTTTGTGATACTAATTGACGTTTTTTTTTTTTTTGGTTTAGGTGGATGTGGTGCTACGAGGGTATAGTGGGTACAATACCCGATGGGCAGTGAAGGTGGCGGAGAGGGTTTTTGGGGCGGCGGAAGGCGGCGGCGGCGGAGTGAATAATGAAGAGCCACTAGTGGTGACCGTCTTCTTTGGGGCTAACGACGCTTGCCTTCCCAATAGATGCTCTGCCTTCCAACACGTGCCTCTTGACGAGTACAAACGAAACCTCCGTTCCATTGTCTCCTTTCTCAAGGTAAGTAAGTAATTAATAAATATATCAAAAAAAATAAAGAGAAAAAAATGTCCTCCTACAAGGATGGTTTTAGAATTTGTTGGAAAAAAAATATTGCGCCTTTCGGAACTTGAAAAGTCACTGACTCACTGTTTTTGAGTGACTGCTTTAGGCAAGTCCTAAAGTGAGAGGACATGATCTATTTTAATGTTTATCATCTTTACAACTTTTCTTAAGATACTACCCTTTTTTTTTTCCCCTAGGCGTAGATCCGATGAAGACTTAACACTTCATGAAATGACATTCCTAATTATCGTATTGCTGCTTTGATCAATAAATACTTGAACACCACCTGTATTGGGGACCCACTTTTGATTAGTGAATGGTCTTCAACACCGTCCATTTCTGTAGCATTATCCTTTTGATCGTCTAGTGGTGTGGCTGTTGAGAGGTCAAAAGTTTTGGAGATTGATAAGGGGCCCGGCCGGAGAGTCTTGATTATAGGTCAGACGCCAAAAAATGGTGACCAAATTAGTAAACTAGTGGGTGCAAGTCAGCTAGGCCCGGTTGGTTTTTGCCAATCGACTACCGTCACATATATTGTTTGGATATAATAAATATTTGTTGATATTGCTAATAAAATTATGTGCTGGGCGGTTTTAATCGTAGTGTCCTTTTCAATGGTCCTCAACTTTTTGACGCATAGCTCTTATTGCACCATATATTAGCACTAGTGGCCTTCGCTTTCTAGCACGCCTAACTTATATATATATATATATATATATATATATATATATATGAACCGTCTGTTGTTGCTCTATATAATAGTTGGGTCTGAATATGGACGTTTCAGGGAATTGGGGACCCATAAAGTTGATAAATTATAATGGCATTTGATGGAGCTTTGTTGTGATTTTTGCTAAAAGTTCATTTCGTATCACAATTTTAAGTTGCGGTTGGGATTTTGCGCGTCTTCATTGATTCTATTTTGTCAGTATGTGTTTCTTTACTCTGATCACACCTATACTAGAGTAATATATATATTTTTTGAATTTTTTTTGTATATAACTAGTACTATAAAATTGTTTGGTTGCAATTTATTTGATATTTTAGATTTTAAATAAATTCTAATATATGAAATTTTTTATTTAACGTAGGACTATAGTTGGGATGTTGCCGGACCAGATTGTCAATTTATAATTCTAACTTTACTAAAAGTTTGAATAGCCGATCGTGATAGTGCATAATGAACCACACATCCTTTTTATGTAGATAATAAGGATAAAGGATAAGCGTAGATATAGATTTGAGCGTGAAAATTAGAACATTAAAATATCTTTAAGAATATCACGTACCATATTCTACGCCTAGGTCATGAAATAGTGAAGTTAGTATGGTCTAAGACCTCTTGATTTAGTGGCACTGGGAGGGTTTTACTGGGGTGGGGGTTGTAGGTTCAATCATGTCTTGCATTAAAAAAAAAAAAAGAAATAGTGAAGTTAGTATGCTTAAATGGATGTGACGATCATGTCTTCCTGCATTATTTGCATTAAATATTACACCAAATCATGTTCATTTCAGACCTTTTCTTTTTTCTTCCTTTCTTAATTTTCTGTTTTTCCCCTCCTTGACGAATGCTTAGAGCGGGGAAATGAACCGTGTGTGGACCACTTGATCATTAGGCTATTGCTTAAGATTTTTCTTATTTTTTTTGGTGATCAATTTCTTAAGATTTGATGCTTGCATGTGGTGGTCCAAATGACTTGGATGCCTATATAGTAGGAGTACCTTTTGGAAATATCAATCTTTTGAATTAGGTATACTTTTGCATTAGAAAAAAGAAAAAGAAAAGATCATATATATTCTTTATTTTCCACCTTTACAAGCAAGTAGAGTAGAAGTATGCATGCATGAGTGGGACAGTGGTATTGGTGAACAACATAAAGTCAGATATAACAGTAAAGTCTGTGGGGGCTGTGAGAGTATTAGCAAGAGCGTTTCATTTAACTTTTACTTACTTTTCTTGCTTTTTATTCTTTAATATAAAATATATATAGGCCCCGTTTATTTCACCGATGCGAGTTTAAAATTTGAGTTTTGCTACAGTAAAAAGTTCTCGGAAACAATCACATCTAACTTATTTGTTACAGTAAAAAACTCTCACATAAAGTCACATTTCAACTCGAATTAAAAACTCGAATCATCGAACTAAACGGGCCCATAGGCTCTCTTATGCATTAAGAATCAATTTGATCTCATACTAAAGATTGCGTGACAAAGAAGAAATCATTGAATCACTTAAGAGTAACTATTGTATACTGTGTTGGAGCGGTTTTCTTTGTCTAGCCCCAAATCAATTTTGAAGACTTAATTTCCAATTTCAAACGGTCAAAAAGACTCTGAATTCTAAATTAAAAAAAAAAGAAAAAAAAATAGAGTTGGGCTTTCTGGTTGCTCTCTCTAGAATTGTACTGTCTGAAGAGGGAGAAAGTCCCTCCTTCCCTCCTCTATTTATAGGTTTCAGTGGGAACTTCCTCTCAAATCTAGTCAGACTATTGGATCTTCATATGCTTTCTTGGACCGTTCGATTAAACAATTCCGATTGTCCTTGCTCGAGTTTGTTGATTCACTTGAAACCTTTGCTTGGAACTTTATCCTTTGGTGTTTCTTCATTGTGATGTCGTTTTGCTTTTCTTTGATCATGCGTCATTGTTTATCCAAGTCGAGATGTCATCGTTTGACCAATGGAATATTGCTTGAGTAGATTAAATTAGGCCCTTCCCAATCCATTGTGTGAGACCCTAGATTTCTTCTACTGGTGATGAGAATGAGGGGTGGGGTGGCACCAATGATCCTCTTTTAAACTATTCTACACTGGTTGCAAGTTAATTAACACTAATAACCATGACCTAGTAACATAAGAATCACAGTGTTCTGCACCCCCAAAATTTTTGTTGGATTCACAATCCTACCTTTTTGTTTAAAGCGCAAGAAGAAAAGATGGATGGATGGCATGCGAGTTTGATGGTATTGGGAGATAGTCAGTTGCGCAAAGTCTACATGACAACGCTGACTACAAGGAAAGGACAATTAGATGCAAAATATTTGTCTCTAAAGATAAAGTAGTTGTAGTTGTAGCTGATTCTTTAAAACTTTTTTTCTTTCTTTTGTGTTGGTATAACATATATATATATATATAAAAGGCAGAATAGGACGAGAGTTTTGGTATAGGACGAGATTGGTGTGGGGTGCCAATAAAGTTGGGATGTGTAATCAATCTCTGATATCAACTTTCGCAGTTTATTCAACAACAGAAAAAAGGCCGAATAGGTTTTATGACACAAAGTGAACGTAGCCAATTATAATTGTTTTCGTAGTTCCCATCCATGCTTCAGTATATAAAAGAAACTATATTCAATGTTAATATTTAATTATCTTTCTATAAAATTAAGAGGCCCCTCTTATCAAGTGTTTACTTCCAAAATCATGCAATTTAAGGAATGAGAAAAGGGAATACTATGCTTACACACCCTTGTATTGATTTCATGTTAAAGAGAATGAATGTTAAATTAGTTTACTTGCATAATCTTAATAAGTTTCCATGTTATAAACCAATAGTTATCTAATTGTGTGAAATACCGTTTTAGTAATTATATTGACAGGATTATTATTTTTAAGTTTAGTAAACACTAGAAAAGGAATTTGTTTGTTTCCCATTATACCATCAATGGATACTTAATATACTATAAAGGAAACTCCTCATTATTATTACTTAAATGGGTGTATGAACCAAAGCAGTTTAGTCACCTGATCCTTCCTGAACAACTTTAATAACATTTAGAAAGAGCATAATAAAAAAGGGATTTGCATTGAGAAACAAGTTTTCAGTTCTCCAGCCAAAGAAAAAAAGTTTATCTTCGCATTTGTCAAATTTAAAAACCAAGCCTAGAACAGAGTATAACAAAAAATTCGCAAACAAAGAACCTTATACATCAATTTTAGATTTTTAATTTGTCTATTTCTCATTTCTGTCAATGTTACATAGTTTTCACTTTGTTGCATGATTTTCAGAAGCGATGGCCTACAACTCGTATTCTCCTCATTACTCCGCCGCCAATTGATGAAGATGGGCGTCTACGGTATGATATTTTCTGCTACAAATCTTTGCAGTTTATTCGCGTATTCTTTCCCCTATAGGTTTTTGTTATGATTCTTGTTGCCCTTTACTTTCTAATGTTGTTGTATTTACCTTGAAAAGGAACGAGTTAGTTTGATTATTATTTATATGCATTTGCTCTACAGACACCCTTATATTGAGAATCCATCAAATGAGCCAGAAAGGACGAATGAAGCTGCCGGGGCTTACGCCAAGGCTTGTGTTAAGTTAGCTGGAGAGTGTGGGATCCCGGTGATCGATCTCTGGACCAAGATGCAGCAGTTTCCGGATTGGAAAAACGCTTGTCTAAGGTCTCTTTTTTTCCTTTTCTGCTTCTCGTTGATTATGTTATTCTGCTTTTTATTTGTCCTTGCACTAATTCACGAATCTCATCAACAATAGTAGCTTTCAACATTTTGAATTACAGATTTGCATCATGTAACCACCGCTCTTGATAATATCAACATTTTATTTTCCTGAACAAACCGTGCGTTCATCAACTATGTATGATGATATTAAGAAAATTCCCAGACTCGGCTTCGAAATCAACCCAGAAACTCGACAAATACCTCCAGATGAGAAAACCACTTCAAGAACAAAGAAGAAAGAAGAAACACTAGACAAAGACGATTTATACTTGGTTCGGATTCCAGCAATCCTACGTCCAAGTTTGAGGTTTTTAGCCTCTAGCCAAATCCACTATAAGGTGTAGTTAACCCTCAATACAGCGCAACCTCTCAAGTCTCAAGAACCTCTCAATTACTGAATGCCTCTCAGTTTCTCTCACTTTCTCAGGAAACAAGCACTCCCCAGAATTCTTGCCCCTTCAAGAATTCTATCAGACTTAAGAAATTACAATTGCAGTATATCTCATAATATAACTAACTTGACCGCCTATATATAATACATAAAAGCCAATAATAAAACGCCAGCTGTACAACACAAGTAAATAACCCAGTAGGAAGCTGCAGTCTTCTAGCTGATTACTAAATCCCTAGCTAGATAGTATTTTTTTTTCACGCTCCCAATCGTTGCCTTGTCTTCTTATTGTTTTAATCCTTCATCAGCACCAGAATTGGTCGAAAAATCGACCAGTTAGGATGGGCTACTTATCTTTGATATAAATCAGTCATCCTCTCTCGTCATTTACTTAAAAAAAAAAAAAAAAAAAAAAAAAAAAAAAAAAAAAAAAGTACTGGTTGGAAACATATAATGAGATTGTGCTTGAACATTCCCTAAATTTCTGTTGTGTGGAAATGCAGAGATGGTTTGCATCTGACTCGGAGTGGCAACGAAATTGTGTTTGAGGAAGTGGTTAAGAAGCTCGCGGAAGAAGGCTTCAGTCCAGAAACTTTGCCCGTTGATCTTCCACTTATAACTGAAATTGACCCAAGAGACCCCCTCAAGTCTTTTCAGCAGTAAAACATATATGTACGTGGGTGGTGCTTTTGCGCTTGTGGATTATTTAGCTATTATTGTAGTTACAGAAATATTGTTATAACCAATCAACCTTATACCAGGGACTTGATTTACGGCATTACTTTTATCCGGCTGTTTTGCGGCCACAAACTGTTTTTTGCTTCAATCAATATAATTAAATCTTGAACGTTGTACGTATGATATATTGATTACTGTTTTCCTCTATTATGATTCAATAAGTACATATCTTTTTGTTTGTGGCCTTTATTCATGTGTACTCGCGTTTTACAGCACAATTAATGAGACAGAGTGAGTACTGAAAGTTTTAGTCAATTTGATGATTTTTTCTATAAATGTAATTGAGATGTCCAAAAACTGAAACTAATGGACATGTCCAAGTGAACTGTTAATATTCTTTAAAGTGTATGAGTCTGAATTTTTATCGCTTACTTTTATTAATATCTTTTTTAGTCAAATATTTATATTAGTTAAAAAAATATTAATTAAGAATAAATAGTAAAAATTTTAACTCATACACTTTAAGAGTAACTTCATCAGGTTTTTTAAAAGGGAAATGCACTAGTATTAGGAGAAAATAATCCAAATACTTGTGTACAACTTTACAAAAGGCTTTTTCTCTATGTTTTTATTAGTAGAAAGCATAAATATGTTGGAAGCTTATGATATGAAATTCACTAATATGACCACGAGGTCGACAACAGTCTTGTAGTTTGACTCATCTTGTTTAAATTTTCTCCTTACTTCCTAGCCAAGTCTCAAGTAAATATTGCATTTCACCCTGTTTGACTGTCCAATATGCGTAAACATTAACTTAGCTTTTCAGCAATATTTGTCATTTTCGAACTCGGACGTTTCCTATCGAGATGAACATATTCAAAGAGTTTCCTAACTGCTAAGGAATAATCCTCCAAAATTTCGATTTTCAAAGACTTTGTCAGCGTCCGTTTAATTCATTTGCAAGGAGAAGTTCAGCAGTTAAAAAAAAAAAAAAAAAAAAAAAAAAAAAAAAAAAAAAAAAAAAAACAGGTGAATAACGTTTGTTTGGCTTGGCATATTACTATAACGTGTCTTAGAGCACCTCCACTAGTGTTATATTGGTGTACCAATGTCAAATTTTAGTATTTGAGTAGAAAAATCATTCTCAAATTTGAAGTTAAAAGTTTTATTTTTACAACTTTTAAAACTCGATGATTATGACAAATATAGATTAAAGAATCTAAAATAACATTATGTATTGAAGTGCAAAATAGAATAGTTGATGTAGCGAAAGCGTAACTAAAGAAAACGAAACAATAAAAATACGAGGGATAGATCAATTAGCCTGTTGATTCACACAGAATGCCAGGAAAATCGCTTCAAAATTCATTGATTCACACAGAATACCGGAAATTGGAATCAAGATTCGTTGATTCACAAAGAATACTAAAAATTAAAAAAAAAAAAAAAAAGAAGTGTAAACACTCATATATCAATCATAAAAATTCTCTCTCCTTATCATTGCTTTGAAGAAAGGAAGCGAACAACCACCTTGCCGGATTGATGAAGGCATCTTCCTTAACGGAAGAAAGGATAGTGAATCTCGCACTTCCGGAAAGATGATACGGAAATTCATTCCGAGCTATGAAAAGGAAGAAGTTCATTCCCGGCTAAGTTCTTAAAGAAAGAGGACTAGGCCCAGGAGAGGAGATTCAGCTTCATGAACTAACATATTTATATACTAAACTGTCTCAAACGACAACGAAAAACTACAAATAAAATTGTGAAAATAAATAATTCCGAAAAATTTTTAAAAAAAGAAACTAACTTATATTTGACCTAACAATTACGCGAAAAGGAAACTTTCCTAGATGTAAAATTGCTATCTTCTAAGAATAGAATTTGACCTTTCTTCCGTAATAATTGTTTTTGAGCAAAAAGTATAATTCCTAATTGCTGCATGATTTCTTTCTTAATACGGGCTGCACCAATAATAGCATACCAACTAAGTCATTTTCTACATTTTTTAATGACAAATGGAGTATTGACATTAACATTTGCGTTGAAAATGGTGTTACTATAAACTACCTTATCAAGCTCGCATATAAGAAAGTTTTAACTCTGGAGGAAATAGGTGAATATATATTAGCTTTTGGGTAATCGAGTACGTTCCGGGGCTCGGAAGTACAATAAAGTGCCAGGTTATATACACTAACTTCATGTACTGTTTCTTTTATTATAGCCTTAAAACAACAAATTTGATTGATTTTGAGGATTCTCTTTTATAGTATTCCGTGAGTGGGGAATTTAGTACTAATTAACTGTTTTACCTGCCTTTTGATTTAAGCTTCAGTTGAAACTGATTGGAATTTGAGAAGGGGTTTACCGGAGAACAATTGATTTTTATTTTTTCTTTATAAATAAAAAAATAATAAACTTTAGCATTTTGAATGAAAGAGTACTAGACGCTAATTGAATATATAAATAAATTCACTATGCTTAAAGAGATTAATTAATGATATCCAACTTTTCATTGGAGATATTTGGTTGTTATACTATACTGGCTGGTTTAACATATAGCGCTCTAAAATATAGTTTGGTAGAAAGAATTCGGAGACAACGTTGAATACCATAAAGCATAATGGAAACGCATATAATGAGCTAATTTTTAGTGAAACTTTTGCATGTTTAGCCCCAGGCAACCCTGGCGAGTCGCTTAATTCATTCACAAATTAACTAGCTAGCTAGGACGATCTTTTATTAATTTGTGCAAATTGTGATCTTTCTGAACTTGACTATTAGTGCTGATCTCTATTATTGACTTCCCATTACTAGTATAGTAACAAAATAAAATAAAAATAAAACTTCCATTAATATAAGAAAATAGAACATTTTACTGAACTCGACGAAGTTTATCTTTTCAACACTGGGTTACACAAACATGCATAATTTATTGGGGCAATACAAGCATAATTTAGAGATCCATAGCCAAAAATGTAAAGCACAACGACAGAAAAATACCGCTAATCTAGCTACAACCAGGCGATCTTACCCTAAAAACAAATAAAACAGATTTTCACAAAGCAAGAAAGCAACACAAAGTACATTAGTAAACCCTCGAACTTAACAGAACTAGAATATTAAAGCCAAAAAAGGAAAGACAAAAAAAAAAAAAAAGAAAAAAAAAGAGAAACTAATAACATAAGCAGAATACCACATAATAATCCGCATGCTGACGATCCAGCAACTAATTAAACTTCCCTATTAGCTAGTAGGGGGGTTATCATTGGAATTGTACGAACGCAAGCACCTTTTTGCAAATGAACTTTTACTAGTATTTCTTCAGAAGATGAGCACTAGATATATTTTAGCAAACTTTTTAATAATGGAAATAAGGATCTAGCGAGACCCTGGAGAGGCAGCGTTATGTTGAGGATCTGGTACCACCTTGTGGTTTTCTATCTTCCATTGATATCCTGTAACTATGCTTCAGTACCTTGCGCAAATCGTAACCTAACTCACGTAAAATGGCGCCGCTGTCAATTCGTTTCTGCATGGTCGTCTTTCCGGTGCGAGAAATTGCTAAGGTTTGGTTAAGCAATCAAAAGTAGCGGTATTACTAGTACTAGCTAGTGTGCGCTGGAGGTGAGTATCGTTAGTGGGAAAAAGATCGACCTCAATATATATTGCAAATCAAAGGGGTACCGGGCACGGATTATGGCTTAGTTTCTTTCTGCTTTAAGTTTGGCGCTTAGGTAATCTATAGAAAATGCTAAATACTACTATGAAAATGATGATATGATTTTAACTTGTCGACTAGTTATTTCGAAATTGCCACGTAAAATACTGTGAGTGATAATAAAAAAGTGTTGGAGTTGACATATAAATCCTTATATAGTTGGTTAAAAATTTAGTGATTGTGATTACAAGTGATCAAGAGTGGAGCTAGCTATACTGATTTTAATTTTAATTTTTTTCAATTGTGTCCCAAGTCAATTAAGAAGACCATGAGTGTGTCCCTATGCAATTAATACTATTAATTTCACAACACTTCTTTAAGATATTAATTATATAACACTTCCAAACATATAAAAAATAGGATAAACAACTGTAATAATATATATATATATATATATATATATGATTTTTATAATGTTATAATAAATTGCCTGACTTCGCCGGTTCGCGCGTACTAAAATTACGAGTAATAGTATTTAGTGAGTTTCATTACTGCAAAATAACAGAAACTTAGGCCTTATTCATTTCACCGATTCGAGTTTTGCTACAGTAAAAAGCTTTCAGAAACAATCACATCTAACTTTTTTACTACAGTAAAAAGTTCTCACATGAAGTCACATCTTAACTCAAATTAAAAATTTGAATCAACGAACTAAACGGGCCTTATATTACAAATCACATAGTAGTAGTAATCACGACTTAGTTTTTGTTTATGTTTAAGGTACATGACATGACCACTCAATAATAATTATGTTAATTTTGACTGAGTTCCTATGTAATAAATAATAACTTGTAGGGCTCAAAGTTAACATATATGTTAATCCCTCATTGTAGTAAAAAATTAGTGATTATAATCACCACTAATAATAAATGTTACGAATGATATGATATATACCAATTTGCTCTAATCAACAATATATAATGCTATGGCGTCTGCTAGCTGACAAATCCAATGTGGACCGTTGTCATTTCTCTGCAGAACTGCAATGCACTAGCCAGTGTCCCCACTGATTTTACCGTGTATTTGATTAGTGGATTCGTGTCATGATTCGAATCGTGGTTCGTGGTTCGTTACAGTATTTTCTCTCACAAAAAATACACGTAAACCGAAAATAGTTCTGAATTCACGAACCAAACATCCACTTAGTTTTTGCTAGCTAGCTACTGCCTCAATTTTGACCTCTTTTCTTGTTTTTTTGTTTTGTTTTTTCAAACCCTAGATTGGACTTCTTTCTAACTCTCCTATCTAGTCATCATCTATTCTTTACATGCGAATACGTTTTTGGTTGATTCTTTAGTATTAACGGAACATTGTTTAACAGTTGTCCATACGTAATAGCAAAGAAGCCTATAAAATATTATTAAAAAATCGGCATATTCGGAATATTTTAAGGATCATTTTTTCATTTGATAATTGATATACGTGACTTCTCATACAACTGAATAGCTATTTGCAAATATGTATTGA